TGGTGTTGTGTCTCCTACTAAAAATTAAAATCTATACACTAGTAATTTGTATATTATTATAATAAAAAAAGTTTGCTATTTATCGCCATCGGTGATATGCAGTAATTTTTTTTTATAAAAAAAGGATAATTTGAATTTTACCGGTTAGCATCATACTAAAAACAGTTGTAATTGATGAGGACATCATCATAAACATATTTGTAGTCATTGTCTCGTTCAGATTAGTAGAATAAACGTGGAATGAATGTGCAAAGACAAATATAAAAAATCCCAATATAAGAAAAAATGAAAATGCTTTTTGAGCTACTTTCAATATTATAGAAACGTATCCACCAGTAAATTCTATCGGACGAAAAAATAAAAGAAATTTGATTTCCAATAAAAAAATAGAAAAGGTAGCTAATTCTGTCGGCATGAAATTACTTTGAAGCCATATCATTGACGACATAATTGGAAATAAAAATGTACCTAAATCTTTGAAAAAAATAACAGAATATTAGTTATAATATGATAAAAAATTAATACTATGCATTAAAAATCTTATTACCAAAAAAATTCCATGCACTATCTATATAAATTAATGGTGATAAAAAAAATTGGCGTAACTCAAAAAATAAATGCAAAATCCCAAGAAAAATAGTTGTTTTTAAGAGAATAAATAGGCTAGCCTGAGAAATAATTTTGTGGTATGATACAGCAATTACGAAAATTAAAAGAAAAACTGTATAAATTGACCAAATTGTAAGATAATATTTTTGTCCATAAGAATTCCATTTAAATTTAAGTAACGCTTCTCCATTTAAGTGACTATAAAATTCTTCATTTATCATTTTAGACTTATTTGAATATGTAAAAGGATTGGGACTAGGTAACAATAATTCTTTCCAGAAATTGTATTTTTTTGGATAAGAAACAAAGTTTGGTAGAGGAATTGCAAGTATTGTACTAGGACCTACATTATGAAACTTGGCATAAAAATTGATAACTGGTTTTATAATTAAATCTCGAAAATAATGATGATTCTTTTGAAAACCAATCCAACGAACCCGAAGATCAGAAATTAATACATCAAGAAATTTTGATTTAGATAAATGATAGTATCTTCCATAACTGGAAAGATGTGAAGACATAGAGTTTGGAATTACGATATTAGAAGGAATTACAAACTCTATAACCAACAAAGCATTTGCTATAAATGCTGGATTATTTTCTGATAACTCTTTAAAGTTTTCAAAAATAATGCTCAACAAAGAAATTTTAGAAATCAGATGATTATTATCTTGCACACACTTATCAATACAACTCATACCTAAAGTCTGAATCCATTTATCATCCTTTAATCTAATAAATGTTTTCATGAGAATTTTTCCGTAGAAAATTAAATTAAATTCTTCAGCAATACTGTCTTCTAAAAACTCTTTGAAGAGCTCTTTTCCCTCTTTTTCGCCAAATTTAACATCTAAATTTTTATAGATTGTTTCATAACTCGAAGCAGGAAGAATTCTTCCCAGAATCCAGTCCTCAAAGAGACCTAAAATATCTTTGAAATTTGTCTTTTCAAAATCGAATTTCTCTAAACGATGATTCCAATCATTCCAATAATAATGTATCTTAATGTTAGAAAGTTTATAAGTCCATATAATTACACCAATACGTGAAATTGTAATGAAATCATCGTTTTCAAGAACTTCACAATGTAATATAAAATTTTTTCCATCAGGATAAAATGATGGAAGAATATCCAGTTGCTTTTTTTCATTATCTGAGTTCCAGTCATTCCTGTAATAATCAAAGTCAATCACTGTAAGTCTGACTGATTTATTATCTAATTCCAATCCCCATCTTAAAAATTTCCCTTGAAATTCTTTTCCGCCAGTATTATAATCATTAGTTAATCTATTCTTTATAATTTTAGTTATAATATCGATTGTCTTTTTAGACGGAGTTGTAATGCTATTTGTGTCTTTCAGTTCTTTTCTTAAGTATTCGACCCAATTATCAGGCACCAATTCTTCGATAAACATTTTTTCGTCAATTGTATAAATTATTTTATCTGATCGAATTATGTATGGTTCTTGAATTTGTTTGTTTTCAAAAATTTTACTTGCATCTATTGGATTTTTGAATTTATAAGGATCTACTAAATTATATTGATTGTTATCAATATACAATAACCTTTCTCCTT